TGTTTGAAGAAAGGAGTGCTTTGGCAGTTTCCCTGCCTGCAAGATTTCGCAAGATAGTGCGCTCCACAGCAGTGGCAGATTGAGCACGAACTGAGCGCGAGCGAATTTCTCAGATTCTTCTCCGTTGCTCGGTTGCGCGATAACAGCTACAGTACTCGGTGCGTTAAACACTTCAAAACTGTTCGTAATTTTTGATATGGACAGCTTGACTAGCTCGCCAACTCGTCTTGAGTCGCCACCGCCGTCGAAAAGCTCGTCCGAATGCCGTTGGACTCGCACTGTGCTCAAAAGGAGGGTTCTTATGGGGGGGTGCTTTTGGTAATTTTTTTCTGCTGTTTTCTTCACGGGCACGCCATCTAACCCTCGTCTGAAGGCTACTACCCTCATTTTGCCATGATACCCTAGGCGGCGCAGTTTGGCGAGAGGGAGTGGGGGCGGGGGGACACGAACACACTGCTTTCTTCGGTGCTTCCCATTGTCCTGTCCTGCCTGATTTAGGTAGTCTGGTGAAACCGTGAGGTGACACCAATCGAGGTTTGTAGAAACTACTCGTCAACCCCGTGAAGAATTCTTGTAAAGCAATGAACACAGCAATGCCCCTGCCCCTCCCCTCCCAGGTCACCGAACGCCTACTAGGACTCTTATCAAATAACTACCAGTTTGGTAACAAAATCTAGTTATCTTTCGCAAGCTCCACATCAAATTATTGCAGAAGTACCTGCGATACGAAACGACTTCATGGAACACAAGCATGTTTATAACTGACGACCAGAAATAACAACTTCAAAATTTCATTGAGATGGCTGCCCATACAACAGTTCGCCTGGCTAGCACAAATGGTTCGAACATTATCTGTCAGAGTTGGGTTTCAGTAACTTCAGAACATCTTCAGAATGACGTCATGTGGGGATACAATCTTTTTTCACACAAACAAGCTGTCAAGTTAAAAAAAGTGAGTATTCTAGGCTAGAATGCACTGACTAGATATTACAATGTCATGGAATGTGTGGTAGAGTTTACAGTAACGAGAAATGAGATCGGATAGCAGGATTACGATTCGAGGAATTCCCAAAGGCTTGACGATCTCTTGTCGTAGGGACTGTCGTAGAACCTGAAGTGGCAAAACATTAGTAATGGCATTGTCCTGTCGCTAAGGATCTTTGATTAGACTACTACATACTATGTCGTCGGCAATGAAGGGTAAAGAACATAGGATCAAGCTGGGACTCAAAAAAGCCTTTCATCAGCCTCTCGTTTCAACTCTGTGCGTTTCTTCGAACTGCAAGTTCGCGGGGGCGGGAGAAGGGGAGGCTTCCGGGTTATGAGGTGTCTTCTTAAATTTGTTTCTTTGCATGATGAATGGGCTCTTGCATGGAACAAAACGTAAGGTTCCTTTTTTCGCCGAGAGTTCGCTGCAATGTCAAAGCGAGTAAACAAATGATCATTGGTTCGACTTCTTCATGGTGATAAACTTTTCATTACTATAATTTCCATCTTCTTGTGTTCAAATAAAAATGAATCTTCTGATTCCCAAGCAGGAACGTGCCCAAAAAAAGACCATCCGACATCTAGCCACTGCGAATCAGCTTATGGTCATTGGGTCAAAAATTAGCTCCTCTTCTTGAATAGAACCTTTCTGTGTTTAGTTATAACTAGCTTCATGTGGCAGGTAGTAGTTCGGGCACAGACAGACTTGATCTCCAAGCGCATTGCCCCCATATGTGGCCGCGGCTCTGTCTTGGAAGGCATAATCGCGACAGGCCGGCTGGGCGGATACTTGTGTCGGGTGCCTCCCCCCACTCATCGACGAACCCGTCCTCTTTACCTATAAGAAGAAGGGGCGCGTTGAAGAGGAATGCAAAAGGGTATGAGAGATTTCTATGCTCATCCATTATGGCGGAACGTCTACTTGATGAGCGTGAGGTTAGATCGTCAGCTAAAAGTTATACCTAGTGAGATTTAGGGCCCAAAAAGGAGCTTGTGCACGTCAAAAAGTGAGGACAACACTGTCAGAGAAGCCCTAGGGAATGGGGTCACTGAGCCGGATAAGTGTGGGATGGAGCACTGCACTGCTGCGCTGAGGAGCGACCCAAGATAGAGACCGTGTCTGCCTTCAATCTTCCACGGGAACTTACACTCCTTATCCCTGGGACGGGGTAGGCGTGGCATTCGAACATGGCACAGAACTGGTTACTCGGGGATTTCAATTTGAGACAACCGCCATCTTGTTCTTTGTTGGACAGAGACGTGACCACATTTGGGTCAAAATGAAAATATCTCTCCAAAGCATAGCCACCACGACGTTTAGTTGAAGTACGCAGCCACGCCTACCTCATCTCAGGAATTTCGAGAGTATATGGCGAGGACACATATCCAGAGATACTAAATTCATCTACAACGTTCTCTCTACGAGACCAGTTCTGTACACCAGTCTACACTAAAGCGAACTCAAATGGCATGGGAGGCAAACAACTAAAAAGCAATGGAATGCATACTAACTAAACCTAGATCGCGAACGGATTGGCAAAGAAGCAACCAAGCTAAAGCATAATTATTGGCTGTATGGTTTCTACTGACCTGTATAGGTAATCGCTGGGTCCCCAAAACCCATTAAACGCCCTCCCACCTCCTCGTCGTTCCATCCTAGAACGTTTTTTCATGAACATGTAGTTCAGAAAAAGCATAAAAAATATGTCAACAACATGCCCCAGAAAACGAATATGGCTGTTAAGGACGTGTGATGTTGAACCAGCAGCCAAAAGCCTCTCCCGCGCTGATTGCTGCGGGCTCATCGTGGCATCAATTAGCCGAAAAGGCCTTTTGCAGCAGCGCCGTCGCCAAAACCGCCCTTCATGCACATGCCTCGTTGCAGAGATCAGAGACAGAGGGTACACGCATCGTGATGTGATGAAAAGGGGAATGTAGAGTACGACCTCTCCTCCCCCCGCCCTCCCTTCCCCAAAAGGATTCTCCGTCGAGCGGGGGGGGGTAGGAATGGGGCATAAGCATATATGGAACAGGAAAAATCACGAAAAGTCAACAACTAGGGAAAATTTTTTCGCAATGCAAGTTTCTCTTCAAGCCACATACTATTCCCCCACCCCTTCCCAACGACCAAATACGAGCCCCCTTATGTGTCTTGAACACGATGCTGTACTCTGTCAGGAGATCCTTTGATCTTTACAGGAAGGCATAACAAAAAGAAAGAATGAAGCTTTCGAATGGGAACCTAACTTCAGCCGCGTCCTTCTTAACTTCTTGAACTACTTCTTCAAGGACCCATTCCATGATGATAGGATCGGCGGCGATGTGGAGCGGAGGTCCACAGCAATTGTGGACTGCTCATTAGCGCTCTACTCTTTTTAGTGCCTTGATAAGGATGTACTAATAGGGAAATCATGATAGTTGTGAACCTCCACCCATTTCTTTGCCCATCTTCTCATCGCAAAGGAAACTCAATTAGTGGGAGTACCCGGCAGAACAGAATGGCGTTATGCTACGGAGCCAGTGTGTAAGAAGAAAGCGTCAACGTTCCGGCGTTGACACGCGTTTGAATGTTCAAACACGTTCTCGCACGGGCGGTTTTAAAATACTCCCCTTTCTGTCAATACCTGGGAAGGTTCAGAAGACGGTTTTGAGCCCGCTCTGTACCTCATGCATCACAGCGTCATAATGGCCTGTTTGTTAGGTGTACAATTTCGAACGCCATCACCCCACTCTCTACAACCCCACCCTTAAAAATCTGGGCTAGGCTTTTTTCGAGATTTACCAAGAACATTTGGCGCCTGGCACAAGTGCGAGTAGTTTGTTTGCCAGACTTGCTGAAAATTTCATGTAGAGAAGATACGACCTCTTCGCCAGGACTGCACTACGGGCTAGTGTAATTGCAGCGTCTGAAATGCCGGCGCTGGCGATTCGCATACGGACGCTAGGCGTTTTTCTGGCAGACGGATGCTATCGTTCGAGTTGACGAGTAAAAGTACCCCCAGATAGGGTACAGCATCGTTGTGTGAAATACATAGGAGGGTCCTACGTTTCCGCTTGGAAGGGGGTCGTATTTGGTCGTTGGGAAAGAGGGTCCACGTGTGGCTTCGAGAGAAAGTTGCCGTGTTTTAAGAAAAATTTTTCCCGGTTGTTGACATTTCGCTTTGTGTTTAATGTGAATATACCCCCCCCACCCCCGCTCGACGTGTGGGGAAATCGGTAGGTAGGTGTTGGAAAGGATGAGGGGGGGGGGTTCGTACCGAGACCCTCCCTCGAGGGGGGGTCGTACTGGCACTACCATTCCACACATCACGATTTTGTACCCTGCTCCCAGGCCGACTTGTCCTGGAGGCCAAATCGGACACACTTCCTCTGTCAAAACGAGATTTTCACCGAAACGTCGAAAAGTGGGCCGCAGCTTGAGTACCCTGCAGTGAACATTTGTGGAGGGCTACAGCGAAATAATTGCCGGGCCTAATATTGCAGAATGCACTAACTTACATTTTACGAATTAATCTTTTTGGTCTACAGTTGCATTCTGTCTAACCACAAATGCTGCTCCCAAGATACTAAGCAGCCTCCTACAGCAGAAGCCAAAATAATAATTTGAAGGGTTTGAAAGGCTAGCTCTCACCTGTTGCCGAAGTATTCATATGGCTGCCATCCTCCAACGAATGCTCGTCCTCCTCCACGTTTCTCATAAAAGTAGTATGGATGCTCCTGAAACACATAGTGCAACTAGAAATCATCCTCTATCCCAGTCTTAAGAAATACCAAATGATGAGCATTTCCTTCTTTCATGGCCGCCATGCCTTCTATTCTGTATCGTAAATTAGTTGTGGCTTTCTGATGAGCCAGTTGCTGCTGAGCGTGCGACAGCATGGCGCAAGCCACAACTTAGGCAGATCATTTTTCCCCGATAGGATCCTCACAAGAACAGCATGCTAATTTCCATATCGGCGCAATCCCTCGGCGGCGTGGCAAGACGGACGGAATGAACTCACCCCGGCGTTATCGCCCAGTTGGTTTTATCTCTGATCGATTCAGCATTACCGTCGCTAGGTGGCAAGCCGCGATGCCAGACTCATTACACTCTCTTCCTGACACCGCCCGCCTGGTTGCGGACGATATCGACTTGCAAATACAGTCAACCACTGAGGGAATAAATGATTAAGTGCCAGCGGATAAAAGCTGATCTGCAAGAGCTGATTCCCTGGACGCGCGTGTGATATGCAACGCCTATCTGCCAACAACTATCTCATACCATGGGGCCCGTCGACGCCTTTCAGGTTCGTAAGAAGCTGTCGACTCCCCGAAACGAAAACACGGATAAAAGAAAGAGCTTATCCTCGCATTTACTCTCTCCCTCTCTTTCTATCTCTCTCTGCTCCGCTCTCTCCTCTGTCAAACTGACTTCAATTTGCTCCCTTCTCAGAATGGCCACACAGGGCGACGCAAGAGCGGCACACAACTGCACTGACGTAACCTGCCTGCTGAAGATTAATGATCAGACGCTGGGCAGGAAGATTGCGGATTTCCAGATTCGAAGCAATAGCTTGAGTCGTCGCGGATAAGCTTACTCATGGTGACTGATGAAGCTTACCCAGTACATTCATTCTCTTTCTTCCATTCAGGTTTCCCGTCCGTTGAGAAACAAGGCGAAATGAGAGGGGCTAAAAATCCCTGTTGAATTCAGGGAGAGCTAGAATGATTCGCGGAGCAAGGAGTACCGCCTGAAGTCTGGGCCGTCAAGCATGGAAGCCTAATCCTCAATTTCATCACCTGAGGGATGTGAAGCAATACAAAATAAACGTGAGCAGGATGCTCACTGGCATAGTCAGTCCATCAAAAGATATTTTATTCTAATGCAGCAGAAGAGAAGCAAAAGGTGAGTAAATATATCATGCTTAAGAGCTTTGTCCTGGGAAGACAGGAGGATATGTATTCGCTGGTTCATGCTACTCTGTGTCGATTACAAAAAGAACGAAGCAAGGGGCTGTACCGTTCCCCGCGACGACTGATTTCACTTGCTGTCCGGAACTAGTTCAGCATTCCTTCTGCTGGCATTTCGAAAGAAAGCCTGCGAGAGCCGATTCACTCTAACTGATTTTGGAGCCATATTTCCCTACGACTAATCGCTGTTTCCATCCTACAAAAATTATTCCTGACGCTAGATTCGCGTGATGATCCGAAAATATGAGCCGGTCTCCCAAAGCACAGGCCAGCTCACGCATCCAATGCTCTAACCTATTTTTTTATAAGAAAATCGAACAGACAACGCGTCCATAGCACTGTCCTTCAAAGAGGACAGAGGGGAAAAGCATTCGCGCCTAGACGACTCTTGTCTTAGGAAACGCTCACGTGCGTTTCAGTTCTAGTTCCGCACTATAATGGTACCTCTAGTGAAGTATCTCTAGTGAAGTATCGCCTGTATACAGGTGGGGGGGGGCAAAAAAGACACTTTTCTTCCTCGAATTTTAAGAGATAGTTACCGTTTATTCAATTCTGAATTGACACTTTTCACCATCATTATTCAACGGACGCATTGTACCACTATCCTAGATTACTCTGCACAGCCTTCGTACAGGCGCCATCAAGAATTCCAACAAGGACTGTGCCATCGGTGCCTGGAGCTCGCGAGGTCGTTGCATTTCTAAGCACTGTTAGGCCACCCTTTTCACTATGAGCTCCGTACCGAGGACAGTAAAATTCAGGGGCCTTTACGTCAGGGCGACACACACTTCGGAGATTCCGTCCACTTTCACGCTCTCAAGACGCTCGAATCCCCATGTCGGTGGCACCGATCACCTGTAGCGTACGAGTAGATCCCAAGAAGGTACAGAATGGACACAACACATGAAGGCACAGACTATCTCTCGCTTTGTCGAATGTAACATGTCAAGCGTTCACTTTGTGTCAGAGTATACGAAGACAGATCGGTCTATTCCAAGGAAGTACGGTCTAACCATCACGCGACATTGGCGACTGCCGATGAGGTCGATGTCCCTACACCTGTGACGACGCTGTCGCGAGCTGCTCGATGTTGAAGGTCTTCCAGATCAGAGGGATACGAGCCACGCGCAGCTGCTTTTTTATCCCAAATGAGACTGACCACATAAAGACAGTCTTCGGCAGCCTCTTTGGATGTGACAGTACCAATTCACGAACTTTTTACAGCTGCCAACGATCATAACATTGCGGCTACCCCCCCCCCTTATTGCGTCCTTCTTATCAATCTCTCAGATCTGAACCGCTTGTACTTTTTGTTGCCCCTCTCAACTATAATAACATCATGCATCCCAAACCAAAATACTAGGCGTGAAGCGACACACGGCACGGTGAACAAAGAAAGCACAGCTTTTCCTTCTTCCTTCTCGGGAACAAGCCTCTCCTGCCCATTCACTGAACGGGCCCGGCATGCGGTCACTTTTCATGGAAAAAGGCGGGCTTCGCATATCCCTGAATTTTTATCGCTTTCGTCCACTGTGCCTCATCATATTGCAGGGACCTGAGGCGTAACGCACCTCTTCAAGCACTATCGAATGTGGATGTCACGTGCTTTCACTCCTCTCAGGTAGAGCCCTGGTGGGCGGCTCTTTTTGTATCCACGTGAAACTCTAGTCCCTCTGTCCCAATCATATTGAAAAGTATTCCAAAGCAGGACGCTATTCATGCCACTTACAAAGCTCCGACGCGTCCCCGGAGCGTGGCTTATGTTTGACCGTCTATTGGCTGCCACAATTTGATATTACAGACCACCAACTTTGATTGACTTCAGGCGACAAACAATGACGCGGTTGGATGTGGTCTTAATGCGAAGCCTTGGAAAAACCAAACCCACGTTAGGCCTGGAAGGCCCGCAGATTACGCCATCTTATCCCAATTGCGCGAAGCGCGGACGCAAATAATCGCCTGACCGAGCTGACAAATAGACGCAACTGCTCTTTCTATTCGAAACAAAGAGGATATCCCTCTAAGTGTCTTTTAACGAAAGATTTGTTGAACCTATCTGAGCTTTTAGATGAAGCTACATAGTGAAATTTCAAAGGGCTTCTACACTCGAGAGCAATGATACTGCAGATTTTTTTCTTGTAGGTTGCAGACCCTCAATGCCATTTTTCAGTTCCATCTGAAGGGCCCGGTATTTTTTGGAGTCTTAAAGTACTTGCAAATCTAGGGGTCCCTTCAGAGGCCCATTCGGCCATAACTCGGAATGGCAAAGACAGGGTACAGTATCAGGATGGGTGAAATGGTTATGTGAGTACGTCCCACCCCCATGACATACGGTCTTGTTTCGCTGTAGAACGGTGAGGGTTCCAGGGCGTGTGGTGGTTAGCGCAGCGCCAGCCGTTCTCTGAAAACTGAAGCGGAGTGAAGTGAACGAGACCATACCAAACTTTCGCGGAAGTTCTGCTGTCAGGGAAGCGGGAAGGAATATGCTTGCGCGCATGAAGAAGCAGTGGGAAAGTTTCCACCCCGCCAAATATAACCTACTCGACGGCCGATAAGACCTCTTATGGGTTTCGCACAATAATAGTACTTGAAGCGGAGATCGATAAAAACTATGCAAAAATTCTTAGGGTGTTCCTCTTTTTTTCATCGCATTGAAGGCACGGCCCGCTTCGCAATCAGGTGTAGAAGTTGAAAATATGGCGTATGAGGATAATGTGGTCCACGCTGAACAATGATGTACCGGTTCCGCGGCAAAAAATTGTAAGGAAGGGGGGGGGGCGCTATAGCGCAATATAGGTTCAGTGACGCCTCCTTTTTTCCAGTGACTCCGCCTCCAGACTCCGCCTTCAAGGCCCGCCTTTCAGTGAAAAACGAGCTGCAGGACGAAAAAGCATGAAAATCGTCACTTGTACGGTGGGTTCTTATCGGGGAATCAGCTGTGCGGATGAGGGCGTAGTGTTGGAGATGGAGTTAACTGGCACGTCCAGCCAAAATCAGGGTGATGGAGCGTAGCAAGTTTCTCGGTTGAGTCAACGAGCCACATTGGATTTTCTCGGCTTGCAGAAATATAGAGGGACGAAAGAACCCATTTTCAATATGACTGAGGAAGCTATAAAAAGTTATCAACTGTTCTATGAGTTCCTTTCCTCGGGGCCGTAGAACTGTTTGAAGTCTTGTTTTGTTGAAATTTCGCTTTTCTGAGTTAGATATTTTTGTACTTGTTTGCCCAATAGCATCCGTTGAAAGCAGTGGTTTGGTAATCCAGTTGAGTAAGAGGATAGCCAAGGATCAAAGTAACCTCACTAGACCTGTTTGCCGTACCCACGACTAGATATACCGCTTGCAAGTTGCTCGTAACCTGGTTTATAGAAAGACTTGCACGACTCCCCCTCCCCTGTCATATGTGTGATAGTTTTAATTCTCATGAGGGATGCAAATCGACGTGACTGACTCTTTGGTAGGCTAGGCAATAGATTCCCATTCAAAATCCTGGAGTAAATGGAATTCTTCTTCGATCCCAAATAGCGCGAGAGGCTGGGAGCTCTACACGCGTTTTGTGTGTCGTCTTGTGTGTTCCTAACCAGTTACTGGCCCCTAATGCCAAAAACGACCGAAGGTTCGGTTAGTCAAGATAGGATTCAAGTCACAGTCCACGAACGGCAGCACCATAAAGTGGATGATGCCCGAGTCTCGGCACGCTATCCTGGCAATGTCAAGAAAATTCAAGAAACCTACCACTAATTCGCTTCGCACTTGGCATATTGTAGTAACCGTGGAATGCACGAGCACCGCCTCGTTTCACTGATGACCTGAAAAAATAGTATTTTATTTGACT